GAAAAGCAGACCCAAACACCCCTTTTTATAGTGCCAAAATAGGCTCCAACGGACCAATGCATTAAAGGGGTGATTGGCTTGATTTATGGGATTGAAAAGATTTGGGATCTGCAGAATATTGGCTTCCCATCGATGTTTAGGACTTACCCATCGCTGGTAAGCCAATTTTCCTTCAGTTTTGAAGCCAACGGTTACCTACCCATCGATGGGTAAATGCTTCCCATCGCTGGGTGGGAGGTTGACTTTCAAATAAGGAAAGAATCAGCCTTAAATGACTCCCAACGGTCATGCCTTCCCATCGATGGTTAAGCCTTCCCATCGCTGGGTTCCCATCGATGGGTAAAGCTTCCCATCGCTGGGTAAGGGCATTCTGCCTTGTGGTAATGTTGCACCAAGGCTTTAACATCGATGGGTAGAACTTCCCATCGCTGTTTGGCATGGTTTTGGAAATTGGTTTGGCTAAGGGACTGCTTACCCATCGATGGGAAGATCTTCCCATCGCTGGGTGACATGATTCTGGAATCCCGGGATCACTTACCCATGCATGGGTGAAATCTACCATTGCTGGGTAGATGGCTAGTCCAGAACCATGGCTTAGCCGACCGGCACTGAAACCCGACCGAAAAATGCAAAGTTCTCCAAAGTATAAACTAAGTATATAAAACACTTATTTAATGTATTTTGATGTCAAAAAAGGCTTTGTAAGTTGAAAAACACGTCGTTAAGGTAAAAACCACGGTTGACCAAGTCAACACCGTACACGGGTGGTTTTCGCCAAAAGACAAAACCGAAAGGTGGTTTTCATGATGTTTTGATTGGAGAACCATTTAAATGCATTCAAAAACAATTCCCACACAAAAAGACTTGAAAACCATTTCGTTTAAGTAAAAACCACGGCTAGCCAAGTTTATGCCGTTTCGCGTGGTTTTTATCAAACGACAAAAAATGAAAGGTGGTTTTTGAAGTGTTTTTGATGAAAAACTATTTAAATGTGCCCAGAAGTAAAAACCAGTCATAAAAAGTTGAAAACCGCTTGGTTAGTTCGGACGCCAAAAACCAACGCCAAAAACCGAACGCCGGTTTCTGAAACCCGAACGCCGGATGGCTTGGTTTTTGGTTTGGGCGAACACCAAGTGTTTTTAATGTTTTAAACATGTTTGAAAAACATTTTTATGATGTTTGAAATCCAATGAAAAGAATTTTAGCCTAAAGAGCCAAGGTGTAAAGGTTGGGTCGGTCTTGATCACAATTATGACCGACTCAACAACACTAAGACTAGGGTCTTCGTTCTTGGTCTTCTTTTGGGTCTTGTTCTCTTGCTTTCTTCTTATATTTATTTCTCGCCTTGTATATTCAGCAACTTGTCTCGTTCACGGTGGTTTGGCATTATCAAAACCTGTCATAAAAACGAACACGGCTTTAGTATGAAAACGTGATAAACCCGTGTTTCAACAATTTCCCCCTTTTTGATAATGGCAAACAAGACAGGGTTATGCATAGGAGGATTGATTTCAGACTTAAAAAATGTTCCCCCTTAATAACTGCAATTTTCTTTTCAACAAAGTTTATGTGTTGAATAAGAGTTAGTTTTAGAAAAAGTTCCCCCTCAATCTATGCATAACCTTTATATCTTCCCCCTTTTGACATTAACAAAAAGAATTAAAGGTAAACTTTTATTCATTAAAAGGGAAATGTGGAATACAACGGATAAAAATACAATCATATTTAATAAGGAGAAAATAAAGAAGAGGTCGTGGCGTCGGTGTTGGCCTTCTTCTTTGAAGCCTCGGTTTTTGTCCTTGACTTTCCTCTGTCCATTGTTGAAGCTTTTAGAAAGTGAGTAGAGGCTTAAAGTACGAAGAAGGAATGTAAATTGTGTGTTAAAATTGACCAAGGATGGTTAATTTTTATAGGAAAAGAGAATTTGGGCCCTTGGTGTTAAAAAATATGGCTGTTGGGCATTGAATGAGGTGCCCAACGGCTATGATTTTTGAACTGCAACAGGCTTCCCAGCGATGGTAAGGTTCTCCCATCGATGGGAAGACAGGTACTGGAAAGAGAGGAAAAAAGTGAAGGCAGCCTTCCCAGCGATGGTAAGGTTCTCCCATCCATGGGAAGACAGCTACTGGAAATCCGTTAAGATTTTTTTTTTTTTAAAGTGTCAAACACCCAGCGATGGGAAGAAGTTCCCATCGATGGGTAGAGGGTTGCTGGTTAGAAAATGCTTCCTTCCCAGCGATGGGATAAACCACCCATCGCTGGTTCCCCCTGAGTTCCTCACTTTGATATGTACCTGCAAAAAAGAGCAACACTTTGGTACCCAAAGTATGTCTATGGGTCCTTGGGGGTTAGTTAACCTTTATTGCCCACACACACACACCCAAAGTTCGTTTCCTTATGCGCACACACATACACACACACA